GTCCGCCACAATGCAGGGCTATTTTGTTGTTGTTGTTGTTGTTGTTGTTGTTGTTGCAGTTGTCATTGTTGTTTAGCTGGCCTGCACCAAGCTCAGACCGGCCAGCCTTAGTGTATGTGGCCAGCCCCTTACTCACTGAGCTACAGATGCTGAGCCGTAATTCACCTTCTTAACAAACATAAAAATGATAATTTCAATAGATTCAGAAAAAATATTTGATAAAATGTAACATCTATTTCTGATTTTAAAAAACTCTCAGAAAAATGAACAATTAGAAACTGGCATTTTAAAAAACTCAAATTTAATAATACCAAAAAGTAGAAATCAATTAGGGATAAAAATGAGAAAAATTGGGGAAGACCTATACACTGAAATTAAGAAGACCTAATTACGTAGAGGGATATACAATACTTTGTGGGTGAGTAAACGTAACATAGTCAAGATATATTAAATTTAACATAGTTTATTCTCCAAAAATTGACCCAGATGTAATGGAATACCAATCAAGATCCCACACAACCTTTTGTAGAAAATGGCAATCTGGTCGTCAAATTCATATAGGACCTAGAATAGCCAAAAATAACCTTGGAAAAGAACAACAAAACTGGATAGCCAACACTAATTTCAGGACCTTTGATAAAGCTACAGTAATCAAGTCGCTGTGATAATGGTGTAAAGATGAACTGATCAGTAGGCATCTTTTATCAACAAAGAAAGTTGTCTGTTAAATTTGGTAATGTGGAATCACAATTTATCTGTCCAGATAATAGCTGATAGAATGATAGGGGCTAGAAGCCAGGTTTCAGTAGACTGAGAAGGGAGTGAAGGATTCTTGGAAAGTATAGAAGAGTAGGTTCATGTAGAAACCCTTTAATGTGTTTGCAACACAGTGAGGTTGGTGCATAGTTAATAATTTTAGAAGTCTATAAGTCTAAACAAAATGGAAGATACCATAGCAAGTGGGGTTGAAGCCCTGGCCTAATGGGCTGCAGGATGGCCAGCAGCAATTTTGGTTGACTCTCACTCCTGCAGGAGCATGCATACAGGAAACCCTGTGCTGTCAGGGACTGGAGCCTAGCACATCAGATGTGCCAGTTCCAACAGCTGCAGGTGCTTCCTGGGGATGGACAAGGTGATACTGACCCCCCACCTGGGGTATAGAGCTCTGGTCTGAAGATTTAACTCAGCACCCTCACTGCAGGACCATCATTCAAGCCAGTCCATCACACCCATCTCCAAGAGAGAGTTCCCCGAGGCCAAGCAGAACTAATAGCAGAACTTCCAGACTATCAGGTGAACTGCCACACTAAGATTTCAAAGCACAGGGGGAGCCTAATGCACACAAGATAGTCAATAAACTCAAGAAGTAGGAGGGAAAGAAAGGAGAAATCTGAAAATGTCTTTGAAGTCAGTATGTTTAACATCTTCTAAGGGGAAAAACAAGGAAGTATATACACAAATAAAAAAGAAAGAAAAAATAGGAAGTTATTAAAAAGCAGATAGATGGCTGGGAATCAGAAATAACTGGATATGGAAAAGAACCAATGTGAAATTTTGGAAAGAAAGACTATATTTATTTAAATACAAAGCCTCTACATGTCATGACCTCTAGACTGGATGCATTGGAAGATGGAATTAGTGAAATTGGAAAGCTATACAAAGGAATTTATCCAAAACATAGAGCAGAGATAAAAAATAAGACAGTAGAAATGTGAGAATAGATTGAGACACTTCAACTATTTCTAACAGGACTTTCAGAAATAGAAAATAGAAGAGATGAGAGAGAAAAGAGATTCAAAAGAATAATCCCTAAGAATTCTCCAGAACTGAGGAAGGGCTTGCGTCCTCACAAAAAAACACAGAGTGCTGAGCAGAAAAAAAGAACTATAAATCCAAACTTAAGCATGCTGTACTAACCTTCAAGCATCGAAGGATAGGGAAAATATTGTGAAAGCTCCCAGAGAGCAAATACAGATTGCTTACAAAGAAATGAATAAGGCTCAGTGCTCGTAGCACAGTGGTTACGGCACCAGCCACATACACTGAGGGTGGAGGGTTCAAACCTGGCCCGGGGCCAACTAAACAACTGCGAAAAAAATAGCCCGGCATTGTGGCGGGCGCGCGTAGTCCCAGCTACTTGGGAGACTGAGGCAAGACAATCTCTTAAGCCCAAGAGTTTGAGGTTGCTGTGAGCTGTGAAGCCACGTCACTCTACCAAGGGTGACATAGTGAGATTCTGTCTCAAAAAAGAAAAAGAAAGAAAGAAAAAATAAATATATGAGGAAAAGCATGTGTAGACACTATTTCTAAAATATTAGGTATAAAGAAAAGTGGGGCATGAAAGAAAAGGAGGCATTAGCTGAAAGAATACAGTACAGGATTCTTTCTTAAATGGGAGAGATTTAACTTGGTTAATAAATTATGGGGGAAATTTAATAGAGGGGCTGAACACAGTAGAGAAGGGATGAACCTGAGACTGGATAAAGAATGAGGATGAAGGGTTGAGCAGGTGGGGCCCAGAGTCCTTGGGGCGGGAGGAGGGATGTGGGTGAGTTGAGAGGGAGGCTGGTCTGAAGTTGTGGGAGGTGTTAACAGTATTCTCTGCAGTGTGAAGTGATGCCCCTGAAGATAAGTAAAGGACGAAGTTGATGTTAAAGTAGGTCATTTATTCACTGGACTACTATTTATAAAGCACCTACTGGATGCCTAGACAGGATTCTAGGTCCTAGGGACATAGCAGTGAACTGAGTGAGGATACAGGGGACCAGGGACCTGCAGAGCCAGGGAAGGGGGAAGCTAGAGACTGGAATAGTGTTCTCTTCAAAGAAAAGCAGGCTGCTTGGCACCACTAACTAATGGGATAATGGCCTAGGCCAGCACAGGGCTGGGGTGCACAGAGAGGGGGACATCAAGGGTAAATTCCACCGAAGGAGGATGCATTCTCCAAGCAGCCAGTGTGACGGGCTAGGCCTCACTGTCTCGGGGCATTTTTTCCTCCTGTGATTCCTGTCTGTGAAATCAATAGTGAAGCTTTTGTTGGGGTCCCCTTTTCTTGAAAATTCATTCATTCATTCAAAACACATATTGAGCACCTTTTTCATGCCAGGCCAATTCCAGCATCCTGTGGAGCCTCCACTGTAGTGGGGGACAGACCAGGGACCCTCGGTCTCAGATGAGAGAGGAGACTGAGCAGGACTGAGTGGGGATGTGTGCCTGGGGCCAGGGCCATGGAGGGCCGGTTGGCAGGAAGGAGCGCTCCAGAAGGCAGCTGAGGGCAGAGCACTAGGGATGAGGTTCGAGAGATGGCATAGCCAGGGGCTTAGAACTTTCTTGAACACTCTCTCGCCTTGGCACCCAGTGTAGTAAGGTGACTTGGCAGGCAAGCGGAAGCAGGCAGGAGGCAGAGGAGGGCTGTTCAGAGCTGTCAGGACAGTCCACAGTCGCTCCCCTTCCAGGGCTTCTGAGCTGAGGTGAAGGGGAGTTCAGATTGCAGGGAGGTGGGCATGAGTCGCTCCTGGAGCTGCCCCCAAGTCAGAGTCCCCTATGATTAAACTCATTCTGTGTTAGTGACAGATCTTTTCCATATAAATGTGGAGCCACATTGGGGGAGGACTCCAGTGTTCTAGGTTTCCAACCCATCTAAAACCACAAATATTTAAGTTTAAAAAATGTAAACCATACTTTCTATATTTCACCTCGTGGAAACAGCAGGCCATCCCAAATACTGGAGAACGGTCACATAATTACATCTTGCAAGCTCTCCCCACATGGCTCTGTCAGAGGAAGGGGCCCGACTCCCAGATGGAGGCTCTGTATGTCGCGTGGAGTTACTTCACGTGGCCGCAAGACACCATCAGGATTCACGAGTACATTTTGTATTCAAGGCATAGTTGGGGGCCGAGAAGACTCTTGTGTGCATTTTTTTTTCACATCCTGAAGCCATGAATGCCACAAATTCTGGTGGTAGAAAGTAATTACATGGTGACGTAATTATTTTCTGACACGACAATGCAGAAACATGTGGACCTGAGGGGCTCTAGATGCCTCCTTTGTTGTAAAGCAATAACCAAGGCCAGGCTGGGTCTCTGCTTGTGTCTGACCAGCCCCAGTCACGAGTCACCATTGGGGACTTTCATGCTCTCTCATTTTTTTATGTTTATTAAGGAGATGATTCTTTGAAATTATTAACCCCAATAGTAGCAAGATCAATTTTGATATGGTGCTCTACATTTAAAGGGAACTTTATCTTTTCAAATGGGAGATTTTTGCAAATATTACACCTTTGATTCCTACAATCTATACAAAGTGTTCTTGCTGGCCGCAGGCAGGCACATTCATAGTTACAAGGCTCCTGTTTTATAAATCCGGGGGCTCATGCTCTGCCTGCAGGCTAGGTGGCACGTAAGCCACTTCGCAGCAGGAGTGGATGGCTTCTCCTGCAGGCCACCCAGCTGAAGCTGACCCCCACACTCTCCACCCCAGCTCAGCAAGGTCACAGACCCAGAATGGAAACCAGGGGTTGGGATAATCGAGGGATTGACCAGTCCTGGGGTCAAGATCAACCAGAATTGAGCTTGAACTGTTTATATGCAGTGATGTTTAATAATTCAGGGGCATCTGAAGACTTCAGGTTGCTTTCACAGGCTTTACTAGTATAAGCATTTTAACTAGGGTGTTTTTAAAAATTTTCTGAGTGTATTGGTTCATTATGGCAGAGAAAACTAGTTAGAAAACTTCACAGCAAACTGGAACGTGCCCACACTCAGAGCAACCTCAGCAAAGCTATTTTAGCTCCTCCTGAGGGAAAGGCTGTTTGCGGGATGGCAGGATCCCCAATCCATGGGCTTGGGAAAGAGGGGAATATATTTTCAGGATTGCTTAGTCTCAATTTCCCCACCTGTGAAGTGGCTGGGTCTGGGAGGGCCAAGGCTGAGAAGTGCATGCATGCCGATGCCTGGCAAGCTGTACGTTAACCCTTCAACCTCTCTCTCCAACCCCAGCTGCCCACTCCTCAAGCCAGGCTCAGGACCGGCCAACCGCCACCGTATCACCCCTACGCACTCAGAACTCTCCATCCCGCCTGCCCACCACCAGCCTCAGGCCCCACTCTGGGGTGTCCCCGCAGCACAGCCACCAGCCCCCAGTGCAGATGTGCCAGAGGCCAGCCATCCCCCTCACGTCAGCTGCATCGGCCATCACGCCTCCCAACGTCAGTGCTGCGAACCTTAATGGGGAGTCCGGAGGTGGACCCATCGGGGCGCTGTCCACATCCAGCCCCACCAATGCAGGGTGCAAACTGGATGAGAAGAAGAATGAGAAAGTAAGTAGCCTATGCCAGGGCCATGGTCCAGCTAGTTATTGTGGCATTTTGTACAAATGAGGCTTGAATATGGGCACCAAGTTCTCACCCTGAGCTGCGTCAAGCACATGGTATAGATGGAGGCCAAGCCCGCAGAGCAGCTGCAGTTTCCATGGAAATCAGAAAAAGATGTCCCCTCCACAAGATGCCTTAGTTCCATCTGTTGTATAATCATTGTGATATGCTCGTTGTGTTAGAACAAGATACTTATTGCCATGTGCGGGCATACTGTAGTAATAAATACACAAATCTACATGTGTACAGTGTGAGCAGCACCTCTTCCCTTCAATATGCCATCCTTGTGCAGTCCACAGCCTGCTCAACCATATGGGACAGAAATGAGAAAGAATGGGAGAAGGCCATCCTATAGTTGGTGTCGACAGCATTTTTAGTTATTCTTTTAGCTGTGAAAGAATTTTTCTGCTTTCATAAAAGAAACTCTTGAGTCCAATGAGCTTGCCCCATTTGCCACCCAGCAAGACCTTGGATTGGCCAGGATTAGAATCCAAAGTTTTAGATCATTAATAAGATATTTTACTTTTTTTTCTTTAACATTCCATCTTCGTAAATCCATGTGAAATATAGTGAGCGGCTCATATGCCTCCTGTGGCTATATTGCTAGGACATCTCCGCCAGACCCTTACCGGTGGCCATGCTACACAAACAGTTTAACAGTCATTCTCTTGGTTTGACCATACTCTGAAGATCCTTTGACACCTGCCCACATAAAATCAATCTTTCCATTAGAGTGTATTAGCTAGTGCTTGGATGAGTACCCCGGACACCAACGGTGTGTTTATGGCAAAGACAACCTTGGGGACAGCATGGACTGGTCAGTCCCTTGCACAGGGTCCCAAAGCCCTACTGGCCACCCACCCTCAGTGGGAACCTGGGTATATCACAGAAATGAGCCAGGCCAGACTCCAGTGGTCCTCTGGCTTGGTACTCCAGCCTCAAGACCTCTTGTGTGGTCCAGGCCAGAGCATGATTGTTCCCATGCTAACTGGTATGGAAGAGGCTGCAGTCCTAACTGTGGCAGCTGCATTCTAATAGAAAAGCTCAAGTGTACTGCAGGCTCACATGGTGCCCAAGTGCAGTGGTTGCTCTCCATTTTATGTCCATGTCTATTTGAAAATTGGTTTGATCTTGAATCTGTTCCTTTCCACCCTTCCTCTTGTTATGAGAGGTATCCAGGTCTCATCAGGAGGCAGAGGTGTGGGTTGAGTCCTGCCATCTCACTGGGACAGCCTTCCTGGAGGATGAGATCTCTTTCTGAGCTGCTCAGAACAAACCAGGGGGTTGCCTTGGAAAGATAGGGACTGTAATAATTCCTTAGACATTCCCCATGCTGGTACATGTCTACAGGCCCAGCTACTCAGGTGGCCAATGCCTTGGGAAGGGGTTCCCTCCACGGAAGTTGCAGATACAGCAGCTCAGCCTCCTTATCTGACAGTTCCCTGAGCTGCCTCTGTATCCAGCTAGCCATGCTTAGGGCTGGACACAGACTGTGAGCACACAGGGAACAATCCACGCTGCCTCCATGTAGGTGGCATGTTCTGCATGTGCCGAGTGAGCATGTGTCCACAGGTTCAGCAAACCCCAGCAGAGAAGCACATTATCCTTCCACATGTTATTTGTGCTGTTCACATCCCACTTTCCAAGCCAACAAACAAAAACAACACTGGTCTAAAACTGCCTATCATGGTTTTTCCCTTCTATACTCCCAGTTGAATTTTCCCTGATTTACAGCAAGGTACAAAGCACCATTTGCAGCAGAAGAGCAGAAATGATGCTTGTTTTAATCCTGTTACTAGGAAGCCAGTGAGCCTGTGTGATCCCTACATCCCATCCTGCCATGACTATCACCGGGCTTACCAAACTCTTATCCTTCATCCCCCTTCCTGAACTTATTTGTGTTTTTCTCTCATGTAGGCCTGTAGTCGTTAATCTACAAGTTTCATATTAGTATTGAGTACGTGGGGTGCTCACTTATCCATTCTTGAGATACTTGGGAAAATGTCCTTCAACTCTATCCAGGTAAATAGAAGGATGTAGAGACCCCATCGTTTTTATGGCTGATAGTATTCAATGCTATACATATACCACAGCTATTAATCTATCCATGGGGTAATGGGCACTTAGGTTGTTTCCACATCTTTGCAATTGTGAATTGAGCTGCTATAAACATTGGAGTGCAAATGTCATTATGGTAAAATAATTTTTTTTCTTCTGGGTAGATACGTAGTAATGGAATTGCAGGATCACAGGTATACTTTTAGCCCTTTGAGGATTCTCTATACTTCATTCCAAAAAGGCTGTACTAGTTTGCAATCCTACCAACAGTGTGTTAAGTTCTCTTCTGTCCATGCCCACACCAGCATCTGCAGCTTTGGTACTTTGTGACATGGTTATTCTTCCTCGAGTTACATGATATCTCAAGATGTTTTAAATTTGCATTTCTCTAATAACTAAGCATGAAAGCATTTTTACATGTATTTGTTGGTCATTCAATTCTTCTCAACCTTCTTGGGAGAAGGTTTTGTTCTGTCTCTTGCCCAGTGAGTAATTGGGTTCTTTGCTCTTTTCTTGTTGGTTTGCTTGAGTCCTATGTACATTCTGGTTCTTAACCCTTTGTCACATTCATAACATGAAAATATGTTCTTCTATTCTGAAGGCTATCTATTTGGTTTGTTTATTGTGTCCTTAGATGTGCAGAGCTTTTTAGCTTTATCAGGTTGCATTTATATAATTTTAGTGTTGCTGCATTTGCCAATGGGGTCTTCTTCATAAAATCATTCCCCTACCCAATATTATTAAGAATTTTCCCCATGCTTCATTCTAAAGTTTTTATAGTCTTATATTTAAATCTTTCCAGCATGAGTTAATTTATTTTATTTTATTTTATTTTTTAGACAGAGTCTTACTCTGTCACACTGGATAGAGTACTGTGTCACCATAGCTCACAGCAACCTCAAACTCTTGGGCTCAAGCAACTCTCTTGCCTGAGCCTCCCCAGTAACTGGGTCTACAGGCACCTACCATGATGCCTTGCTATTATTTTTTCTTTTTTTTTTTTTTTTTTTTTTTAGTAGAGAGGGGGTCTCACTCTTACTTAGGCTTTGTCAAACTCCTAAGCTCAGGCAGTCCACCCACCTTGGCCTCCCAGAGTGCTAAAATTATAGGCATGAGCCATGTGCCTCACCATGAGTTAATTTTGATAAGTGGTGAGAGGTGAGGGTCCGGTTTCAGCCTTTTACATGTGGTTAACCAGTTCTCCCAGCACCATTTATTAAATAGGGATTCTTCTCCCCAGTGTAGACTTTTGTTTGGTTCATTGAAGATCAGATGGCAATATGAGACTGATTACATCTCTCTTCTGTAGATCTATGTCTCTATTTTTATGCCAATACCATGTTGTTTTCATCATATAGATTTGTAATATAACATAAAGTCTAATAATGTGATACCTCCAGATTTGTTTTTATATCTTAGAATTGTATTGGCTATTTGAAGTTTTTTCTAGTTCCATACAAAATGAAGAACTATTTTTTCAAGTTCTTCAAAGTATGACACTGGTATTTTAATGGGGGTTACATTAAATCTGTAGATCACTTTGGGTAGTATAGATATTTTAATGATCTCAATTCTTCTCAACCATGAACATGGTACATTCTTCCATTTGTTGACATCTTCTGCTATTTCTTTTTTCAGAGTTTCATAGTTCTCTCTGTAGAGATCCTTCACATCCTGTGTTAGATATATTTCCAGGTATTTCATTTTCTTTGAAGCTATTGTGAAGGGTATTATGTCTTTGATTTGATTCTCAGCTTGACCATTATATCCCAAGATGTTTCTATATTTCTTGATCACTTCCAGAAGCCTTGCACCTGAGTCCCTGGGGTTTTCTAAGTATACCATCTTATCATCAGCAAAGAGCAAGAGTTTGACCTCCTCTGTCCCCATTTGAATATCATGATATGCTTCTCTTGCCTGATTGCATTGACTAGGACTTTCAGCATTATGTTGAATAGTAGTAGTGATAGTGAACATCCTTGTCTGGTTCCAGTTCTACGTGGAAATGCTTTCTGTTTTACTCCATTCAGTATGATATAGGCTATAGTTTTGTCTTAGACAGCTTTTATTAGTTTAAGAAATGTCCCATCTATGCCTATTTTCCTAAGTGTTTTTATCAGAAAAGGATACTGAATTTTGTCAAGTGCTTTTTCTGGATCTATTAGAGGAAATGGTCTTTGTTTTTTGCTTCTATTTATGTGATGAGTTATGTTTATGGATTTGCATATGTAGAACCAGCCTTGCATCGCTGGGATAAATCCTACCTGATCATGATGTATAATTTTTTTAATGTGTAGCTATAATCTGTTTGCTATGATTTTATTGAGTATTTTTGCATCTATATTCATGAAGGAAACTGGTTTGTAGTTTATTTTATTTTGTTGGATCTTTCCTGGTTTGGGTATCAGGGTGATATTTGGTTTATAGAAGGAGTTGAGAAGAGGTTCTTCCTTCTCAATGTTTTGGAATACAGTCTGCAATATAGATATAGGCTTTTCTTTGGATGTTTAGTAGAATTCTGGTATAAAACTGTCTGATCTGGGACTTTTTTTCTTGTGAGCTTTTTTATTGTTGTTGCAGTTTTGGTGTCTGAAATTGTTCTGGTCAAGAGTTCTATTTCTTCCTGGTTAAGTCTAGGAAGGTAGCGTGTTTCCAAGTAATGGTCCATTTCCTCCACATTTTCAAGATCATGGGCATAGAGTTTTTAATAGTAACCCATGATGATCTTTTGTATCTCTATTATATCTGTTGTTATTTTCACGTTTTCATTTCTTTTTTTTTTTCCTTTTTAAGACAGTCTCACTTTGTCGCCCTCAGTAGAGTGCCATGGTATCATTGCTCACAGCAACCTCAAACACTTGAGCTCAAGCAATTCTCTTGCCTCAGCC